TTGTTCTCACTCCTTTCCTTCAGGTAGCACATTCCCAAGATTTTCTTTGTTCCTCATTTCATATTCTTGTCTTGTCACTGAAGCTGGCTCCTCAGAGAGCCCTGGTAATTGGCAAGGTTGTCTGTGAGGATGAAAGACTCAGAGAGAAGATCCGCACCTTTCAGATATTTTCCTTCACAGGAGAGGTAGACAATCGCAAGGAAGCTGGATTTGTGTGAGTCAACCCCATCCTATCTCCTGTGGGCCATTTTTAAGATCTATTCAACCATCAATGCTATTAGCTCAATGGAGAGCTTGTTAATCCTTAGAACATCTGCCTGATTTCAGATGGCCTTCCATTTTGCCATATCTTCTCTGAAAAAAAAAAAATAACAGAAAAAAAGAAAAGAAAAGAAAGAAAAACGATGAGGTTTTGTTCCCAGCTTCAGAGAGACCCACAATGTAGAGAGACCCACAATGTACTGACTTCAGGCCCTGCTTCTAAGGTCAAATTCAGAGAATTCTGTCATTTACATGCCTGGACACCTACAGAGAAATAAAAGGAATGCATTGATTCTTTTTTTTTTTTAAGTACTGAGCAACATGAAGAACATCTGTCAGTCTCAGAAGAAACAGCTCATGAAGTTGATCAGTTGAGCTGCTCTTAACTGACAAGTGGAAATGTTTTCACTGAGCTTGGGGACAGCCTGAAAAATACAACTACCCAATTTCCTTGGAAATCTAAAACTCGGTCCATCCCTAAACCAAATTACTGGCTTAGGGTACACTTTGTTTTCAGTGTTCCCACTAACTTTTTTCCTGATGCTTTCAGAACTCTGTTACCCATATTACCCCAATATATAGGTGACCACACACACAAACACACACACATACACACACAAGTGTGTGTTTGTGTGTGTGTGCGTATTTCTTAAGTGATTCACATCAGCCTCTGATTCTTTCAATGTTGAAGAAGTCCAGCCACAAAAATGGATGGCTTTCCTTTTAACTGTCACCACTCATGAAACTATGGGACTGTGTGTCCACCTTGTGGTCTCAAACACATAATTTTCCTGAGTTGGAAGGTAAAAGTCATGGATCTCAAAGACTGCCCTAGCCACTCTGAGGTCCATTGGGTGTATTCTAGACCATCCATATTACTAGTGTGGGCAGACCTGGGACAAGGAATTCAAGCCATCCTTTTTTCCTGAATTCCGATTGATTTATGTGGATTTGGGAAAGAATGAGGGAAAGCCGCAACTTACCACAAATGTGTGGTCATCGCACTTGCAACTGGTTTGCTTTCTCCAGGGCAAACCCAGCGGAATGGATGAATCAGTGATGCTACTTAAGGAAGCCAGGCTGACAAGAGCTCACGGGCAGTTCCTCTCCTTATACCAGTAGGGCTGTGCTCACCCACTCATGGTTTATGTTGTTGCTCAAGGAAACAAATATGGATCCCTGTCTTGGAAGTTGCTCAGTTTCCCCATCCTGTTCCTGGGAAGCCAGGTTATACATAGCACTGGATGAGTTATTTTTTTCTGGGTGTGGGGTGAGGGAGACATTTGTAAAGCAAACAGATCTCCCTTATCATTCCTTGGCAATTTCCTTGGAAATTCCTTGCCTTTCCAGTCCTCAGAGAAACTGGCTGACGGCCTGTGACGTTTTCGTGATGTATATTATTGCATTACTCTGTTTCTTTGATGATGGGGAAACAATTTTTAGGAGAGGCAACTTGTCCTTTAAGGGACATTGTATGAGTAACGTGGAGACATAGGCGATAATCACCAAGACTGCAAGGGTTTTGATTTCAACAGCTGTAAAATAAGTGGATGAGGTCATACCTAGGCATCTTCTAGCCCTGACACTCTGAAAGTTCCCTTATCTTCAGGAACCTGAACATTTCATTAAGCAGAATTTTCCATTCCCCAATTGCCAGAGAGATGAGAGACCTTACTATATGAATTGAAAATTTTGATCCAATAAGGAAAACTTACCCACATCCCAGACTGCCTTATTCTCGCTGATGTCAGAACAAGAATTAGTGTAAAAAAAAATCAAGGGGAGGACATAAAAAAGAACAACGCAAACCTGGCAGGTTTTGTACATTAGCGCATAAGAATTTGCCAAAGTGTTCTTGAAAGTTAAATCTTCCATTACATAACTTTTTTTAAAATCACTTTCTTAATAATGTTCCAGTTGAGTTAGCATGTTTTATGATTTTTCCTTGCTTCAGAGATAAGAACATTCTCAAAGATTAGACTAAAATTCCCAGGTATTTTTGAATTTTAAACATGGAGGTTAAGAGAATAATGCCCGGGGAGAAATTTGAGGAAGACACTGTTATTTATATTTTGGAGGCAATGTGGTATGTGCCTCAGATAATGAGATGATGGTTAATTGAAAAAAAACCTTCCACTTCTAAAATAGCTCACCATAAATATGAACATCTGTAAGAGTTTGGAAAATCAAGAAGCAAGCTGGGTTCAAGGCTGCAGCCTGCAGTTTGGGTGTTTTTCTGTACATACGTTAAGTCTCAATAAGTCCTTTCCACTTACCTTTGGCCTAGTGGGGTAGAACATCCCTTCAAATTGGCAGAAAGATCATTTCCATTTAGTTCTGGTCACAGAGAGGCCCACCAATCTTTATTTTATTTGTTTTTAATGGCTTATGTGCAATTATAGCAACCTAACTTATCATTTGTTTTTGTAAAGCACCAAGGGCACGGTTAACTGATAATCTACCTGTATTCAGGAAGAGGAATTGTTAACCTATGACACACCTCTCAGCCCTTTCCATGTGAAGAAAAAAACTAAATATGTGAGTATTTAGCTTTCTGGAATCTGAGCAAAGAGATGACTATACTTACAACATGCCTCAGAGATTTTTCCTTTACAAGTATTTTCGCTTGACTAATGCAATTAGCCATTAGGAAAATAAGCTTTTTTTTTTTTTTTTTTTTTTTTTTTAGTAAGATACAGTATTATTTTGAAGGAGCAACTTCTTGGAATGGATTATCTAATTTGTGAAAGCTATTCTAAAAAGAATACACTCATATACTCAAATACACACAAGAAATTTATATAAATCGTAGAGAACTGTCTGAGGAAAAGCTTGGTTGGTTTTCCTGTTCTTTTGGGGAGGAAATGTGTATTCTATTCAGTTATCTTTCTGAGGTAGTACTTATAGAGATCTATTATAGAGTTGGCCTGCAGGGGGCGTTAAATCTTCAGCAAAACTCTTAATCCACTTAGCAGAAGCAAATAATCCTGCTTTCTTCTCACTGGGATGCAGGAGTTCTAGGACCCATATCCTGACTTTCCCATCTCAACCTTTTAGATTAGACCTAACACTTTTTAGTATGCTTAATCTGGGTGTGAGAACAACGGCCCCGGAGTGTGTGTCCTGAGCCTAATATTGCTCTGAGTCACCTTGCTCTGAGAGTCTCCCTAAAGGTCTTGGATTGTCTTACCCCTCTAGTAAGCCTTTAAATAGAGTATTGCTACAGATCAAAACCCTAGGGCTTCCTCGAGGTAGAAATGTGATTTTTGGAGCTCAGAGATAACTTTATATGAGTTGGAGAAAGCTGCATGTCTCAAAATGGCAGAGGATCCTTCTTTCCTACGCAAACCTTATAAAGCATGATTCGTGCTGCTATTTTTAAAGGAAACTATCAAGTAGGAATGAGCAAACCCAAGAGTCTGAGGAACTAGCAAAGTTATGTAGTAAAGTCTATGACTATAAGTTAATATAGTACAGTGGTTCAGAGGTCCATAGATTCTAGAGCTGATTGACCAAATTTCAACATCTGCTTACCTCTGAGCTCTAGAATCCTGAATCATTATCTTAACTTCTGTGTCTTTGATTTCTGACCCGCAAAAGACCATTTCATATATTAATTGTGAGGATTAAGACAATCCAAAAAGTACTTGGTGCACAGTCAGTGTCCCATAGATATTATTTGAAAGCAAATTACTATTATTCCTTAGACTGGACTCAAAATAACTGCCATAAGATTTCAGTTTGTTTCTCATTTCTCTACAGAGGCTCCTTCATCCTAAATACCTCCCTTTTGCTCCTTTTGCAGCTCTTTTTTTTTTTTGCTTTACATTGTCACCTCATGAGATCCCACCCAAGACTCAAGGATTATCAGTAATGCCATCCTAAAACCAAAAAGAAACCCATAATTCATGATTCCAAGAACCAAATGTGCTTTCTCCTACCTCAGACCCATGATAGGGACTCAATGTCTAGCTGTGGGACAGATGCACAGGTATATATATTTGTTTTTCAAATCTCACAGAACTGTAGAGCTAATGTGGGTGATTTTCTTTTTTACTATATAAATTACACTTCTATAAACCAACTTCAGTAGGAACACAATGAGAAAAACCTAATATTTGGAGACAGAAAGATCTGCTTCTAATTCAAGTTCAAATACTGTCTACCTGAAAAATCATTGAGTCTCGTTCACTTGCTAGTTCTCTTATGTAAATAAGGCAACAGCCACTTTCTCCTCTTTAAGTGAGGGTTTAGAGACGATCATGGTATCAAAATGCCTCATGCCATTGAAGCTATAGGATTATTAAGAATTTCCTCTCTAGCATTGTTATTTCTATATTTCTTACACATTCCTGTCCACCAGAAGGTAATCTCAAGGACAGAATATGTGCCATATCTTTTTCTTATTCATTGTATCTAGTACAGAGTAATTGCACAGCAAGTATTTACATACCTATTTTGAAGGGCAAATGCCAAAAGACATTTCAGCTTAAACACCTGCAGGATGCCATACTTGGATAACCACCTGGGTTTGCTAAAACTCAGTATCTCAAAATCTGATACTCAAGTTGGTCAATAATTCAACTATGTCTCCCTAGTGCACAGTAAGGCTTAATAATACATCCTTCATTGTGATGGTTCTTTAGAATTACAGGGTGGTCTGTTTTTCTTCAAAACAAGTAGAATGACTATACTGGGCTTTTGTTTGTTTTTTTATTTTGGACCAAAAAGTCACTCTGTTTTCCATGGTTCAAAGTTAAGCTTTTATTTGGTTTTAAATTAAAAAAATAAATTTCGTTATTAAATAGTGAGATGGGTCTAACTAATGTTCAGATAGTAGCTTACTCAGGAATATACCACCAGGGGTACAATTAAGGGAATCCATTACCTAAACTAAAATTATTTGTTATGTCATAGTGTTTGTTAAAAGTTCAACAGTGGCATAATTCAAAGAAACTGAAATACAAAGTTTTAGATGTTTACAATGGATGGGAGAATTAAACCACTTATTCTACTGCAATCTCAAACTACTTTCTTTCTCAATGCCAGTCAGTTTGGACATTATACCACAGTGCTAATGTCATCAGGTTCGTCTGCTTTCTTTTGCCTGCTTGGCAGGGATTTCAAGTATTCGAGGTGTCTCCGGGCATCCTCCTGATTTTGCCTCACGTAATACACCACATACGAGATCACCATGGTGAACCAGCCAAACATGGTGACCAGCATGGCATAATCGGTAGTTTTTTTAGGGAGGTTACAAAGGTCAGCATCGTTGGCAGCATTGAGGAATGGTCTTCCGGCGTGTTCGTCCAACACGGAGGTCTTGCAGATCACATTGTGGGCTGTCTCATGATTGGACGCCATGCTCCTCAGAACCTGCTGCAAAGTACAGTCACAGTGCCAGGGGTTGTTGGCGATTCTGGCCCTGGCCTTCAGGTTATTGAAGGCATTTTTATGCACGCTTTGAATCCGATTGTCCGACAAGTCCAGAGTCTGCAAGGTTTCAGCTACTCCTTTGAAGGCGTGCTCATCAATAAACTCGATGCCGTTTTTGGACAGGTTGAGAACTCTCAGTTGATGCAGGTCTTTAAAAATCTCATTGGGGATAGACGTGATCTGATTGGAGTCCAGATACAGTAAGACTGTTTCAGGAGGAAGATCTCTAGGTATTTCCTTGAGATTTGCATTGCTACAGGTGACATTTAAGCCCCCGGAGGAAGAACAAAGACAGCCCTTGGGACACATACTGGCAGAATGGAAGCACAGTATCATAAGAACAAAACTCTGTAGAAGGAGACACATGGAGAGAGAACGGGTTAACCACAGGTCTACCAGATTCATGCTGGAATGTCAGCATAATCACAAGTCCATTCCTCATTGACTCCAACAACTGTGGCAATGGTTCCAGCTCTGTCCACACCTTGATTTCCTCCTTGTGTGGCTCAAAAGGCTGCAGCTAACACGTGCATCTCTTCATTATTCCTGCCCTTGCCTGGGAACCTAAAGGAAAGGGAAGCAGATGCAATTAGTCCTTTTGCAAAGGGAGGAACACTGCAATTAAAAGTGCTTTCAGGCGTCTGGCATTCTACGTGGCCAGGAAGGTTAGTTATGCAGATAATTTCCATTAACGCCACTGGGAATTATCTGTGTAATGGGAATCTCCTGCTCAAATCCCACGAGTTGGGGAGAAGACCGTCAATAAATGACAACATTTTCAAATTCTGTTTCCTTGTGTTCAGCTGGGCAGAATTAGAGCAAACAGTCCCCATTTCTCTGATCCTTACTTCTCTCCTGGACCCCTTCTAAGTTCTACAGCAGTGAAATTGAATCATGTCTTTCGACCTTCCTATAGTAACAGATGCATTAATGCAATTTAGCCCTTAATCTGGGCAGCCATGAGAAATAATACCAATATTTCACAGTTAATGGCCAGAGTCAGGAATAGGTGTCATGGCTTTTGAATAGATGCCCAATTTGGAATATTGTCTCTAAAGAAATTAATTCTTGAATTAAGAAATGAATAAATGCCTTCTAACCCTCACAACAAAATATCCTTGGGGGTAGCCAAACAGGAACTTTCAGAAGAGTTGCTTCCCTTGTGACCTTCTGAGATTATATTATACCTGCGAGGATGCTTCTAACTGAATTTCCAAACGATTCTCTTTCTGTCTTCTAAACAACATATCCCCTCCCCAAGGGATCTTCAAATATGACACATACCTACAAAACTTTTTAGTAAAGAAGAGAATTAAGAAATACTAGCCTCTAAAACTTGTCCAGCAGGCTAATTTTTCTTTCCATATTAGCACTAGAAAGAGCCATAGAAATTGCAAAATTAATATAAGCAATACTATCAAGTTTAATTAAAGCAACAAGCAGAGATAAGTATACAAAGTTAACCTTCAAAGCTACCCTCTGATAAAGAGAGGACAGACATAGCTTTGGGACCAGTTAACCAAGAGTAGTGGATAGAAATAATATGACTTGCCCAAGGTCAAACAGCTTGTAGGTGTAGAGATAGAACTGCAGCCAAAGTTTTGTTCTGACTCATTAATCTCACTACTCTTTCCACTACCCCCACAGCTCTCTTCCAATCCCATCTGCTCTGTGATGGTACTCAGGATCCAGCAAGCATTGCTTTTTTTTTTTTGTGATTTCTGATTCAATTATGTTGTAGCTTAATCCTATACTCTGTGGATCTTGCTCCAAGTTGAGAATCCCATGGGGCTCTGTTGAGGAGACCCTCTGCATGGTAGAGAAAAATCTATGCATGCTTTCAGAAGTTTCTCTTCCAGGATCTGAGAAATAAGGAAAAAGCATTCACTCCTCTTACAGTAGTGAGCATCAAAAGTCTATCTGCATAAGCAACAAATGACTTTCTGCAAACTTATCCTTTATAAAGATCCCAGATGGATAAATACAGAGGGAAATGACTCCAAATGTTACCAAACTTGCAGAAGAGATGATTAATGTGAGCTGAAAACATAATGAACTGGGTTGTTAATCATGGAAAAATGAGATTAACAGCAGCCAAATGGAGTGGATGTGCTTTTGGAATCCTGTATCACTTAAATGCCAGAAAGTGCGAAAGAAGGACCCCTAGGCTGGCTAAGCCATCCATCAACAGCTCCTATTATTTGCAGTGAAGCGTCCCTCCCTTCCATATTTTCCTCCCAAACTGCATTGCATGACATTTGGGAACTCTCGTAATTATCTAGTTGGGAGAGAGGCAAAATAAACAGATATGGAAGGCAGGGCACTCAGAGAAGAAAGAAGAGCAGAAGGACAAGGCAGGGATGCTAGAAGGAAGACTAGAGACAGACACAAGAGAGAGAGTTAATTTGATAGGAAAAAAAAAAAAGGAGGCTGTGTCAACCAAGCAACTTTCATTAATGGAGCGTGAACCTGACTAAAATCTCTACAAAGGTGGGAAACCTCCTCTAGGAGAGAGTTCATCCCCGCCCCCAGCTTTATTTAAAAGAGTTTTTCTGTATAAACGTTTTCTATTTAATTCAGACTAAAAATTCTATGAAGGCAAGGACTTGTTTGTGCCTCATAAAAAAAAATAAGAGTAAACAGGTTCCGGTTAGGAAATATACTGGGTTGTGTACCAGCTTGAATCCTTGTTAGCAAGATGCTCTTGGCTAGGTTGTTCAATCTCTCAAAAACCTTATTTTCCTTATCTTTTTACAGAGACTTTAAACATACTAGTTACAAGGTTGGCTAGAGAATTACATAAGATAATCCACACAAAGCACTCAGCACGGTGCCTGATGAAGTAGAAAGAGCTCAGTGCTTGTCAGTTGTGGTCACTTGTATTATTCCTAGATACATGCCTGACACTTACCATAGTGCTTGGCATACTGTAAGGGCTAAATAAATATCTGTCATATGAATGAAGCAATGCAAGTCTATCTGTGCTTTTTCTCCCATATGGTGACTATTTTTGTTATTATTTTAACATAAACAGTGGCTCATCAAATGTCTACCAGTTTTATACGCCAATGTGGTGGACTTTGGAAGCATTAAGTACAGGCACCTGAGAAACAAAGGGAAGAGTAGAGCTCTTTCTCATCAGACTCCTATAGGCTTTGTCATGGTTTCTCCAGAACGATCATGCCAATGGCCACAGTCACAGACAAGAAATGGTTAGGAGACACGTTGAGTTCTTAGGATCAATCCTTCTTGAGATGGAATCTCTCATGCTTCTGGAGGGCCACTTGGACTCTGGATGAAATGTTTGTTAGATGTGCAAATACAGAGAGTCTCTTGCATTAAAAAATGTTAGACTAAAACCAAGTATTTAATTTTCTACAATGTTTGGTAAAAGAAGAATAAAACCTTCTGAGGTTGGCTCAATTGCTGGGACAAGTGCCTGGTGTTCACCCTCTGCCAGGATAAAAATGACAACAGATGAAGGATGTAGCAAGCTGAGTCCTTGGATGTTGTGATGGTCTGAACATTTGTGTCCCCATATTGAAATCTAATTCCTATTGTAAGGGTGTTTGGAAGATGGAGTTTGGGGAGTTGAATAGGTCCTGGGAGTGGAGCTCTCATGAATGGCATTAGTATCCTTATAAGAGAGAGTCCCTAGAGAAATTCCTTTGCTCCTTCTACCATGTGAAGTCACAGAGAAAAGATGGGACATCTTTGAACTGGAATCTGACCCTCACCAGACACCAATCTGGAACCTTGATCTTGGACTTTTCAGGTTTCAGAGCTATGATAAATAAAATTTTTATTGTTTTAATAGCACAACTAGATAAGGGCAGATGTCCAAGAGATAGATAGCAAGGTTAAAAATGTGGGGTTAAGGTCATCCTCACAGCAGGGATGGAAGAGCAACTTCCACTCACTCCACAAGGCTGGACAACTAGTTTCCAAGGAGGTCAGCTTGACGCTGCCTTAAGTTGCTAAACAGATCAATAGCAGCTGCTGGAAAAGGAAGACATGAAGAGATGAAATCTTGCAGACAAAAACGGTGGGTATTCTTCTGGACTGGTTAGCATCTAGCAGAGAACAATGCTAAACAGGAGCTTGGTAACCTCAAACTCCCTCCCACGCTGCTTTGGATCAAGTTTGTACACAAATACCCAAAGCAGCAAACAAGATGTGCTCCTGGGAAGAGCATTGACTTCCGAACTTCAGAATGAGTGAGTAGATGTAAGGAAGGCCCTGAGATCACACTGGTGAAGGAAGAAACAGTAACCACAGTCACTGCCTGCCCCCCAAAAGAACAAGACTCACTAAAGAGACCAGCAAAACTACAGTGTCTTTTCTGCCTTCCAGCTCCTTCTCTGCAATTCTCAATTTACTGGACAACCTCCTCCCTACCCACTCATTCCTTTCAAGTGTGTCAACCAGAAGGCCATATCATTCCTAATTAATGCCCAGGTATGGTCTGTGCCCCTAAAGAGGAGCATTTTATTCCCAAACTCGTGCCTTGCTCACATTTTCCTGCACATAGGTGTCTGAGCTACAGCAGTTAATACTGGGATTGGGTGGCAAGCTTCACATATTATCTCCAGAAGGAAAAAGAAGTACACATAGGGGCTGGGGATGTGGCTCAAGCGGTAGCACGCTCGCCTGGCATGAGCAGGACACTGGTTTCGATCCACAGCACCACATAAAAATAAATTAAAAGATGTTGAAAACTAAAATATAAATATTGAAAAAAATTCTCTCTCTCTCTCTCTCTCTCTTTCTCTCTCTCTCTCTCTCTAAGAAATAAAATAAAAAGAAGTGCACTTAGCAGATTCTTCACTTGGTGAGAAGACAGTTCATTCAGTGGCTTACTAACAATTCTGTCTTGTTTTCTACTTTGTTCTTCTCATTATTAAGGAATACTCAGGACCACGTAGGAATTCTAACTGAAAAGTGTTATTAACCCTTCTGAGGCAACAGAGTGCACCAAATTCAGAAAGATATACCAGATACACCAATTCCTTTCAATTACATTCTGTGCAACTCTACTATTAAATGGGAGGACTTGATTAAAAGGCAAAAAAAAAAAATAGCAAAACAGAAACGCCTTTTGACTCACAACACAGAATTCAAACCAGTGGGGGAAAATATATTTAATTATATAAATTTAAACCCTCTGCATGGCAAAAACTGTGAGGTGATCCAAAGTCAAGGGACAGATGATAAAAAAACAACTGATTTTATTTTTTAATAGACCCCCCCAAAAAAAAACAGGATATAGAAATGACAATATATATATATATTGTCATTTCTATATGTATATATAAAGTTATATATATACATATATATGTATATATATAACTTTGATGATGTAGATAAAACAAACAATATAAAAAGATCCTTGATCTCATTGACAGTAAAATAAGTTTAAGTTAAAGCATCTATTATTATGTTTAAAATTAGGAAGACGATTTAAAGTCCATGAACATGTGAAGAACAAAGCATTCTCAAACACTTGATGAGCAAATAGATTGGTGTACTCTTTTTATGAGCAATTTCTAAATACCAAAAATTTA